TAAAGGTTCGTTGGAACGAAGTTACGGAAAGTTAATTAACAAACAGAGACGTAACAATATGTACTACAGCTTTTTTTTTAATACCATAAACAACACGACTCTAACACTCAAAATCTCCCTATGTGTGTAAGCCAATTGAATAATTAATAATCAATTTTGTTTTCTTACCTGGCTCTCAAAAGACATATGTATACAAACAAATATTCCCTCTTGCATCTAGAACTAGCCTTCGGAACACACTGAGTGCTGCTCTTACTACCACTACAGTATAACGGATGGAATGTCAGATTATCTTCTAATGTTTGACATGAAGAACTTGCCTTTTGTTGGTCTACAACATAACTTGCATCCTTATGCCTGAGACTTAAATAATGTTTGACTAAATTATTTTCTGCATTTAAAAATGACGGCTCTGTATGACTATTTTCAGAAGTGTTCTGAAGTTCTGAATGTTTTTGATCTTGCATCATATCTTTCCAACTGTTCTGTTTTGAATGAAAGCTTTCCTTTGTATTACTCTGTAAGCTCTCACTAATTGTTTCTACTTGCATTTCCAGACTGCTCAACCTGGCATAACACAATCCAAGACGTAACCAAAAATCTACATGCCAAGGATGAGTCTGAATGCACTGTTGTAAAACTTCCAGTTCTTCTAAAACAGAGATAAAAAATAACATTTCTTACAATTATTGAAATGAAAAGTTAACATGAGTCACAAAATAAGATAAAAGTACTTTGTCAAAAGATGTTTAGGTGTATCTGAGTTTACAAGAATAAAGTTAGATGTATTTCTATTACTAAACATTTTCTTAAGCAGCTTTTGTAATTCCAGTTTTTAAAGTGTCTATACAATGCATTTCTAAGTGTTAAGAGAACTGGAACTTAAAAACTAAGACATATTACAGTAAAAAAAAGATATTCACATTAAATTACTCAATTGTGTTTAATGTTAAAACATTCTTCAAGTACTAATGTAAACATACTAAAAGATTTAAATAAAACAAAGTCACATAAATATGTCTGAATGGAATATGCTAAATTGAGAGTGTAAGTGACAGTATTAAGGTATGGTTCTTAAATATTTAAACATTGAAAACAATCTCTATTGTAGTTCATTATTCACATAAAATAGCACTAAAATGTAACATAACTAACACATATTAATAACAAACACATAAAACTGAAACAAACAAATCCTTTGAAAACAAATGTAATTTAACACCTTTTACATGATTTGACATGTTTCAAAATGTAATGGTACCTGAATATTTATTGGTGGACTGATATAACACACCCAATAGACTGTTGCTAACAACTTTCTGATCTATATTGGTTGAACTTTCAAACTGAAAAAAACAAAATGATAAATTTAATTAGTACAGGTTTAAATGATGATGATGATGATGGCTATATGTGCTACACTTGTTAGGATATGTGTATAAATTGTGAAGTGTTTTTAAATTTGTATATACTAGCCCATTCAGGATTACCAGTAAGAGTGTGTTTGAATGTGATATTTCCAACTACACTTTGTTGCATACCACTGTTAGAAATGCAAATTGGAAACTTCATTAATTGTTCATAATTTTTTATACACAATTTTTTTATTTTATATGCAACACCAAATCTTAATTTCTAATTATTGCTATTGAAATATAACAAGTTATTAACCTACAAGCAACAGACTATAAATTCCTCAGAATATTTTGCTAAAATAATTTATTGTGGGATGTAAGTTGGTTTAGATTAAGATAGTGAAGCATAATTTTTACCAATTTTATTTATATATATTCACATATCAGAAGCAGGGTAAAGACTTTTTGACACTATGCCAAATGGCATCTGCTTAAATTGGTAACATCCATCTGCTCTCTTTTCTTTAGATCCTGTCTCTATCAGGATTTGCCAAGAACCCATATTGAGGTCAATCTCTGAAAAGAATCTGGCCCGATCTAGTTTTGCCATGATAGTCTCTGGGTTACCCACAGGTTTAGAGTCAAACTTCCTCATGAGATTCAGCTTCTAGAAGTGTACACAGAAGTGGTTTGATCCATCCCTCTTCTTCATGATTACATCTGGTGAACAAGTAGGCTGAATTTGAAAGCTCAATGATTCCAGCTTCCAACATTGCATCAACTTCCTGCTTTATTAGGTGTCTCATTGCATAATGCATCTGATAGGGCTTCACTTTGACTGCATCCCTGGTTGTGGTCTAGATCTTGTGTTGCACAAGGTCTGTCTTTCCTGGTTTATCTGTGAATATATCTGCGTACTGGCACAGTAGATCTTGTAGCTCTTTTTTCTGCTTGCCAGTCATTTCCTTACTGATGTTGACATTTTTATATGTTTGGCATGGTAGATCTTGGTCGTCCTGTTCACATTCACCTTGTAGTCCATTCTGTTAAGTACTTCCTCTTCTTCAAAACGTCCTTTCTACTGCAGGGTGAGTTTGTTGTGGTCTGTGGGCAGCAGAACTAAGACCTTCTGTACAAGTTTGAAACATCGATCCTTGGCCTTCTTGTCATAGAACTGCTTCTGACTGTCTTGAGCTACATACAAGCTCTGTTGAGCAAGTTGACAGGTCTCGACCAGTTGGTTTCTGAGATCTAACACATGCTGGTATGTGTTCCTTACTTCTAACTCTTCTTCTCCCATCTATAGCTCTTTCAATATTTGCATCAAACCTCATACAGCTCTTCCACACAGTACCTCAAAGGGTGAAAATCCTATACTTGCTGAGAGACTTCTTGATAAGCAAATAATACCGCATGCAAGTACCTCTCCCAGTCAAGGTGGTAAAGAGCTGCCAAGTACTGATGAGTCTGCATCAGTTCTGAAGTAAGCTGGGTCCTTCTATCGCTCAGGATTTCTCTTGGAAAGCCTATTCTGCAAAATACCTCCAGCATGTCTTCTGCTACAATCTGTCTCTATCTTTGCCAGTGCTATTGCTTCTGGATAATGTGTTGCATAGTCAACTACTGTCAGCATATACCAGTTGCCCTTGTCAGACACAGGTGGTAGTGGTTCTATCAAGTCCACAGCTACTCAGCAGAATGGCTCTTCTATGAGAGGCATCTCTCCCAATGACACCCTGGCTACCTTCTCTCTAGGTAATGTCCTTTGGCAGGTGTCACATGTCCTGCAGAACATTGATCACATCTCCAATAACAATCAGACAGTGGAAGTTATTGGTGATTCTGTCTGCCGTCTTCTTTGTTCCTAGGTGTCCTCCCACAATTAATTCAAGAGCCAACTTCATCACTTGAGTCCAGTATTCTGTTGATACCATGATCTGTTTAACTTCCCCAGTATAACTGCCTTGATTGATCTATTATAGCACACTCTTCCAGTCTTCTATTCTATAAGTATCTTTCCCCTTTGTCTTGTGCTCAACTTCCTCCTGGGCATTGTCCCAAAGTTTCTGCAGTGAAGGGTCTTTCTTCTGTGCTTCCTTCAGTTTCTGCAAACCTATATTCAGGATGTCACCTTTTGACATTTGCACGGGCTTGTTTGCTCTTCTGTTTTTGAGCTCTGGTGGTGACAGCAGATGCTTCATCAATCTTCTTTCTGTCTAGTTCCTCCAAATTTCTACAACCTGGTATGTTTGCAATCACCAAGTCGTATATTGGTCCCTTCATACACATGGTTTTTAAGGTCTCCTACATAATATGGAGTATCCACCTTTATTTTCGCTATGAGAAACTTTCTCACTATCCCACCAATTAGCACACACAGATGTACTTTGCCTGTCCTCTGATCATCAGATACTAGACTGGTTCTCACTGCTCCATTACTCCATCCAGTGTCTCGTAAAGCCTTCACTTTCTTGTCCCCAGCATATCCTTCACTTACTGGCATGTTGTAATTTGGTATCACTTCTTGATGTTTGTCACATGCTCCAATCACAACTGGCACTGTTGATCCGTTTGTTAACTTAGCCGACAACTAGTCATGCACTGATCAACCACACTTTCTTCTTGTAGTGAATCTGACCAGTTGTCTTGATTCTGTTTCTTCTGGCAGCAGCATCCATAGTGCCAGAAACTCTTTCTTGTTTCTTACCAGCACTGTCTTTGTAAACAGCTCCAGCTGCTTTATGTTGAGAATTCTGCTGTTGCTTGCTGATAATTGGCTTGCACTCCTTTGCAATGTGTCCCATTTTATAACAAACATAGCATCTCTTCTCCCTTCTATTAATTAACCTCCTATCACCATTGATAGACTCCTGCTTCTAATCAGCCAATACTGTTTTCAAATTTCACTGGATATTCTTGGACTTGCCAGATATACTCCCTCCATATGCTTCCATATACTGTTCTGCCAGCTTGATCGTCTCATCCATGTCTTTGATCTTTCTTTTTGGGAGCCTGGCATGGCCAGTGGTTAGGGCACTTGACTCACAATCACCAAACATACTCACCTTTTCTGCCATGGGGGCATTACAAAGTGATGGTCAATCCCACTATCCATTGGTGAAAAAATAGCCCAAGAGTTGGTGTTAGATGGTGTTGACTAGCTGCCTTCCCTCTAGTCTATCACTGCTGAATCAGGGATAGCTCTCAATTAGCATTGCACAAAATTCAAAACAAACCCAACTAAGCTTTCTTTTTGTATTGTATGTTGCACTTATAATTGTATGTATGGCTCTAAACTTAGTATTTTGAGTTGATTGTGTGTGAATTCTCTTAAAGGATTTATCTTGTTTTGTGTTATATAAACATAATTTTACATCATAACCATTTCTTCTTTATTAAAGGATATTATTTTTCTATGAGTAATCAGTTATCTGTATTCTATGTTAAAGGAAATTTATTAGCTATTGTGTAGCAATAATTGAAACTGTGTCATTGCTAAAGGTGATTCTCATTGTTACACTTTTTTTTTGTGTGTGTAGTTACATCAATGTTAAAAGGTTTATTTATGTATTATATGTAGTTATAGCTATATAGATACATGTACTTGTGTAATTATTGTGGGTCTATATCCAAGTTCACTTACTATTATTTACAATCCCTCTCCCCTTTGAGTCTCAACATTGCCCTTACAAATGTTTCATAAGCTTCTATTCAGCTTTCGGATTATTATTTGTAATTATAATTTTGTATTTATAGTAGGAATTTATTGAAGATGGTATGTGTGTATTCTGAAAAATTCATTAAATATAATGTTATTTGTCACTTTAGTGGTTGTATTATTCATCATTAGACTGGATAGTTTCTGTGTTAAAGGGTCTATTTCTATGTAGCATTTCTTTATCAGAAGGTATTTTTATGGTGAAAATTCTTACTATGTAACGGTTTTATGTAATATTTGATGGTATTTGGTTGTGAATTTTGTATTGTATTTTTCTTTCTTTTAATGGTGGTAACATCTGAGTGATGCGTGTTTTCAGGAGAAAAAGAAAGACGTTTAATGCACTCATCCACCAAAGGATGAGTTTAAGGCTTACTGGGTTTAAAATTCAAGTTAATTCTCAGCTTGAGAACAAGTCTGAGGTAGGAAAGATAGAAAAATGTGGAATAAGAATATATGGTGCATCTCTATTTATTTTGTAACATACAATACTTATTCTGATTTTAATCTATATTCTAAATATATGCATGTTTCATATATCACATCGTCAAGAACATCATTAAGATGATTTCATTCTAGATACCTTTGTTCCTTTTTTGTTCTTGAGGTGGTAATACCTGCTCTGCCTAGGAGGGATATTACTCAGTCTGCACTTTGTGCAAGGATGTCTACAGCAGTGTACTTCAAAGGTTATTCAGTAGACTGGATCGAAAAGATAATTTTTTTTAATCTGGATTTAATAGTGTACAAAAGTTGTTAATTGGTCATAGTATTAATCCTGTAAAATATTACATTAATTTCATAAATTCATAAAATTTTAAAGGGACAAAAAGGAGCTTATTAGCCCATCAAGGATGTCCCTTCCAGCTCCCAACTATAACCACCCCCTTACTACTCTTGTATTCATCCAATCGTTTATTGAACTCAATTAAATTTTCTGCCTCCACCACCCTTGAAAGCAGCTCATCCAAAGCCAACCACCGTGTTTGTAAAGTAATCTGTCAAAACTGCAGACAACTTCTACACTGCCAAAATTTCAATTTATGACCCCTTATCCTATTGTTCCCACTGCTTAACACAAAAAAGTTTGATGGATTTGTATCATCAATACCCTTAATAATCTTAAATTAAATCCCCTCTGACCCTTCTCCTCTCCTGAGAAAACAAGTTTAGAGATTTTAATCTCTCTTCATGGAAGAATCCCACCATCGCAAGTATCATCCTAGTGGCTCTTCTCTGAACCTTCTCCAACAATTCAATGTCCATCTTGAGG